GCCCTATAGCAAAAACCTCTCCAAAAAAAAACCACCATGTGCATGCATGCGTGCCCCAGATCCCTAGAGGAGAATAGACAAGAGATTGACAAGAAACAAGAGTGTGGTATTCCCCCGAGAGGTCAGGTGCTTTCTTACTTTCTTTCTTTCTCTCTCTCTCTGTCTCTGTTTTTCTCCAGTGAGTACATGTACCCTATAGCAAAAACTTAAAAAAAAAAAAATGACTGTACTTCAAAGAAAAATAGACAAAACCACTGTTATATTTGGAGAATTTAATACATCTCTTATCAGTAACTGACAGATCCAGCAAGCAGAAAATTAGTATACATATACTTGAACTGCATAGCACCATTAATGAACTAGATCTCAGTAACATTTAAGTTTTTAAAAATGTGAAGTGTGAAGTGCAAGGGTAGGAAACATTTGACAGATGGGAAAAGTGTAAAATAAAAAAAGAATATTTTGTGGGAAAAAAAATTTAAGACTTAAAAAAAGTAAACTTTCATATACTGTATGCTATAAATAATCATTTTATATTTGACTTCATTCTTAGGAATACCACATCATGTATGACTTATCCTTTATATTCCTTTTTTTTGAAGACGATTTTTTTTGCTATAGGGCGCGTGCCCCTCTGTCTGAAAGACAGAGACAGAAAACGAGAAATCACCCCCCGGGGGGACAGCCACACAGCAATCCCTTCTCCATTCTCCTCTTGGTATCTTGGGCACGCACGCACATGCACCTGGCATGAGTTTAAGCCACCAGGTACGAGACTCAAACCGCACTGGAAGGTGGATCTCACATGTCTAAGCATGGTTTGAGTCCCACCCCCTAGGGAAGCTGGCCATGCCACAATCCCTTCTCCTCCTGGGATTTTGGGCATGCACAAACACACACACACACACTCATGCCCAGTGTGATTCTCAAGCCAGCAGATCTGGGACTTGAACTGTGATCAACCATGTGGGAGTCCAGCACCTTAACCACTATGCTACCTATTGGCTCCAAGGCCCAGATAATTTTACTAGTGAGTTCTACCAAATATTTAAAGAAAAAATAATACCAATGGGCTACATTCTCTTCCAGAAGATAGAAACAGAGGGATTGCCTCTTTACTCATTTTGAGTCCAGCATTACTCTAATACCAAGCCAGATAAGGAGTTACAAGAAAGAAAACTACAGAGCTATATCACTCACAAACATAAATGCAGAAATCCTCAGCAAGAATCAGCAAATGTGGGACAACAATGTAAAAAAAAAAAAAAAAAAAAAAAGTTACACTACTACCAAGGGGGATTCATCAGGTAGGTAATTCTGGCTCAACACTTGCAAATGAATATAACCCATCACATCCACAGGCGAAGACAATCATATGATTATGTCAATAGATAAAGGAAAAGTATTGACAAATTCTAACACCAATTTATGATAAAAACTCTCAGCAAATTAGAAATGGAGGAAAACTAACTTAACTTGATAATATCTATAAAGAACCTACAGCTATCCTCATATTAAATGGTGAGAAACTAAATAATTACCCCCAAAGATATAGAATAAGACAAACCTGTTCCCTCTTACCATTCCCATCATACTAGAGGTCCCAACTATTGCAGTAAGACAAGTAAAAGAAATAAGGGAGTATAGACATTAGAATGGGGGAAAATGCAACTGTCTTTGTTAGCAAATGGCGTGATTGTCTATGTTGGAAATCCCAAAGAATCAACCAAAAACAAAGACAAAACTGGACAAGGCCAGACAGTGGTGCTGCAATAAAGCATGATACCTGTGAAACAATCTCATGGAAAAGGGTCCCGGTTCAAATCCAGAGACCTCACTCAGTATGCCAGCACGCACTTACCCACAGTCTGGGGCTGACTGAAGGCTAGGGTGGATTGTGGTGTCAAGATCCAGGGGTGCTGTCTCTTTCTCTCTGTTTCTTTCTCTGTCTTTCTCATGATAAAGAAATTTATAAAACCAATCTGGAACTAGTAAGTGATTATAGCAAGATTGCCATATACTAGAGTAATAAACAAAAAGTCATTTGCTTTCCTGTATACCAGCAATGAACAGCTAGCATTTGAAATGAAAGACAAATGCCATTTACATTAGCACCCAAAAAATGAAGTAGAGTCATATTTCACTTAATGACAGGGATATATTCCGAGAAGTAGTTAGACAGTTTCATCATTATGTACACATCAAAAGGTATACTGTTTTCTTTTTTTTTTCTTTTTTTGAGAGGTTTTTCAATATAGGGCGCATGCGCTTGCCAGGCAGACAGAGAGAAACAGAGAGACAGAAAGTGAGAAATCCCCCCCAGGAGGGATGGCCACGCCACAATCCCTTCTCCTCCATTCTCCTCTCAGGATCTTGGGCACATACGCACATGGCGTGAGTTTAGCCACTGGGTCCAGGGTTCGAACTGCGGTTGACTACATGGGAGTCCAGCAACGTAGCCATTACGCTAACTGCTGGTTCCCTCAAAAGGTATACTTAAACAGACATAGTGGGGGACCAGCAGTTAGCGTAATGGCTACGTTGCTGGACTCCCATGTAGTCAACCGCAGTTCGAACCCTGGACCCAGTGGCTAAACTCACGCCATGTGCGTATGTGCCCAAGATCCTGAGAGGAGAATGGAGGAGAAGGGATTGCAGCGTGGCCATCCCCCTGAGGGGTGATTTCTTGCTTTCTGTCTCTCTGTCTCTCTGTGTCTTTCTGGTGAGTGCATGCGCCCTATAGCCAAAAAAAGAAAAAAAAAAAAAAAGAAATTTAACAAAATATGTAGGAGAGCTGTATGAGAAAAATTATAAAACTTTGATGAAATAAAGATCCAAGTAAAGGGACCAGCAGTTAGCGTAATGGCTATGTCACTGGACTCCCACGAAGTCGATCGCGGTTCACGTCCCGGACCCGGTGGCTTAAAACTCACACTGGGCGCGTGTGCGTGCATGCTCAAGATCCCAAGAGAAGAATGGAGGAGAAGGGATTGTGGCATGGCTATCCCCCCTGGGGGGTGATTTCTCACTTTCTGTCTCTCTCTGTCTGTCTGGCGAGCGCACGCGCCCTATAGCAAAAACCTCTCAAAAAAAAAAAAAATAAAAAGATCCAAGTAAGTAGAGAGACATAATAAGTTCAAGGATAGAAAGCCTAAATATTGTTAGGATGTCAATGCTTCCCATCTAGATTTGGAATTATAGAATATTAACTATAAACACTAATTGTTTATAATTCTCATAACAACCCTAGAATTATTTTTCATTTTATAGATTAAGTAATTGAACTATTAAATGGCTAAGTCAGTTTCAGTGTCCAATGTGTTATTGTTTATTTATTTATTTATTTATTTGAGATGTTTTTGCCATAGAGCGCGTGCGCTTTCCAGAAAGACAGAGAGAGACAGATAGAAAGTGAGAAATCACCCCCTGGGGGGGATGGCCATGCCCCAACCCCTCCATTCTCCTCTCGGGATCTTGGGCATGCGCACACATGTGCCTGGTGTGAGTTTAAGCCACTGAGTCCGGGATTCAAACTGCGGTCGACTACATGGGAGTTCCGCAACATAGCCATTACACTAACTGCTGATCCCAGTGCCCAATGTGTTTTATTTCAAAGCCTTACCACTATCCTTACCACTCCATCTTTTTATTAATAGTTACAAACTAAACATACAACCTACTTTTTTTTGAGAAAGAGATTTTTGCTATAGGGCCTGTGTGCTCCTCAGAGACAGAAAATGAGAAGTCAACCCCCAGGGGGAATGTCCATGCTGCAATCCTTTTTCCTCCATTCTCCTCTTGGGATTTTGGGCATGCATTTACATGCGCCCAGCATGAGTTTCAAGCCTCCAGATCTGGGACTTGAACTGAGGTCAGCCATGTAGGGAGCACCTTAACCACCATGTCACCTGCTGGCCCACAACCTACTCTTTTTTTTTAATTGCCAGAGGGCGCATGCACTCTCCAAAGAGAGAGGGTAGGGGGAAAGCACCTCTAATGGGGGCGTGGTCACACCACAATACCTTCTTCTCCACTTCTCCATCCTATCTGGATTCCAGGTACATGTGCACACACGTTTTTCAAGTCACCTGGCCCAAACTCTAACAATGTTCAGCCATGTGGAATCCATCTCCCCCAGCCACTAGTCCACCAGGCTGGTCCTGCCTGCTTTTTGTTTTATTTTTATTTCATGTATTTACGCTTCATAAGGTATACCAATCTTTCATACGCTTTATTAACTTCATACAACCACCTTCACTTCATGTAACCATGGTGTATTCCTTCACTCTGTGTGCTAGTACTTTTTATAGATCCTTGCCTGTCGAAAAAGGATCCCGCGCCAGCAGGTGGCGTGAAGAGTGAGGTGGCTGGATCTGACATGGCTGACAGCACGGTTCAAGTTCCGGACCTAGGGCTTGAAAATCATGCCAGGGACATATGCATGCGTGCCCAAAGTCCTAAGAGGAGAATGGAGAAGGGACTGTGGCATGGCCAACCCACTGGAAGGGATTTCTCACTTCCTACATCCTCTGTCTGGCTGGCTAGGGACCATGACCTATATATAGAAAAACTTTTTTAAAAAGGAAGGAAAATAAAAAGGAGCCCAACTCCTTTTTGCTGCAAGAGCTGTAGTAAGAGGCACACAGTGGGCCTCTGGCATACTTTTGCGGCAATATGTGCCTTCCTATCTCTTACAGCTCTCAAAATTCAAATATTCAAGAACATTATTTTTGGTACCTAGAGAGCCTGAGGGTATAGAGACTGAGGGGTAGAGTCAGATGAAAAGGTAGAGAGAAGTGAATTCATGTGGGCACCTGAGGAAGGAGGGAGCCTCCAGTAGGTTTGGTAGAGACAGCTTGTCCCCTCAGAAGAAATGGTAACATTCAAAAACACTCAGTGATTGGTAGCAGCCAGTTTGACCAGTACCTGTGTGACCAACTGCCTGTTTAAGGAAACTTTAAAGCAGACCCTGTCCCTGCCCCTTCTCTTGACACCTAAAGGGGACACTCTGCGGCTCCAAACAATTCTGGAAGCAATACAGAAGCACATCCATTCTTCCTCCCTCATCTTTAAACTGGCCCAAGATGCATTCAAGATTGCTACTCCCACGGACAGCAGTACCGACAGCACCTTGCTCAATGTGGCTCTGGAGCTGGGATTACAGGTACGGGGTATTAGCGGGCCTTCCCACTTTATTTCCTGCTTTATTCTGGCCTAGTGACAATTGGCAGAAGGGAAGTCCCCAGAGGACTGGGCACAGACCAAGTCTCATTCTTTCTGTGTCCCCAGAACACAAATTCTAGGCTGTATAAAAGGTAAGTACTCCATAAATTGGGCTCCATTTTCTTTTTTCTTTTTTTTTTTGGAGAGGTTTTTGCTATAGGGCGCGTGCGCTCGCCAGACAGACAGAGAGAGACAGAGAGACAGAAAGCGAGAAATCACCCTCCAGGGATGATGGTCTCACCGCAGTCCCTCCTCCTCCATTCTCCTCTAGGGATCCTGGGCACGCACGCACACGCGCCCGGCGTGAGTTTTAAGCCACTGGGTCCGGGACGCGAACCGTGGTCGACTACATGGGAGTCCAGCGACATAGCCATTACGCTAACTGCTGGTTCCCTCCATTTTTAAGTTAAGGCCAGAACTAGTATAGCTTTAGGCTCCACAGGATCCCGTCTCCTCTCCACCTCCATTCCTCCAAATCGAGTAAGTAACGGTAATAAGGACTTTCTCTTCAGAGAAGCCTTTTAACTGAGTGGAAGGGATAGGGCAAAACGTAGACCTGTCTATACTTATTCAGGGATTTTTGGTGCTGTTTAAGGCACGAAAATAGTATATGTTGCCTAAGATGACAAAGGGAAGTGCGAGGTCACAACTGGTAAGCTCAGCCCACTGGAAAGGCCTCTTTTGTGCCCAGGTAATGCGAATGACCTTATCAACCCTTAACTGGAGGCGCCGGGAGATGGTGCGATGGCTGGTGACCTGTGCTACAGAAGTGGGTGAGTCTCCCACCTCCCTCTGCCCGCTAGGGGAAAGGAGTTCCGAGGCCCCACCTGGGACACAGCAGTGAACCATAGAGCTCTCATTCCTATTCCTGATGGCCAGGAAAGGTGGGAGACAATGGCCTTGTTCAGCCAGCCCAAACCAGCCCTCACGGCTTGGACCATATCCTGATGTCAGCAGTGGTCTTACCCTCTGATGAGAGACATGTCTGAGAGAATGAATGTTCATCCACTAACACTCACATCCTCCCTTGGGAGGTAGTAGGTCCAGTGGTTTGGTCTCAGTCCCTGTCCATGCTTGAGACACATGGAAGCTCCACAATCCCTTGCAGAGCCCAGAGCCCCAGCACGAGAATACCCTGAGAAGTCCACTTCAGCTAGAACCCCAGGCAGGCCTATGACCTCTTCCTTGGGGCAGGCAAACCATAGGCTCTGCTGCTCCATCCTTGTAAAGGGCTCAGAGCACCTAGAAACCTTCCCATAGGCTCTGCTGCTCCATCCTTGTAAAGGAAACAGAGCACCTAGAAACCTTTAGCTCTCTGACCTGGGGAAGGAAGGGATGGGAAGAAACCCTCAACAGGGACTGGCCCTCCGGGATGTTCCCCTTGCCCTGGTTTGCCTCAGATCATCTCAAGGCTGCTGAGGAGGAGGGAGAACTCGTCTCTGCAGGCCAAGTTCAGCTCCCAAATGGTAATCTGGGCAGACCTGGATCAGGACCCGGATGGCCACGGCTGAGCTCAGACTCTCCCTGACAGGTGTGCGGGCGCTGGTGAGCATCTTGCAGAGCTGGTACACACTCTTCACTCCCACTGAGGCTACTAGTATTGTAGCTGCCACAGCCGTATCCCACACTACTATCCTGCGCCTCAGTCTGGACTACCCACAGCGGGAGGAACTGGCTAGCTGTGCTCGCACACTGGCCCTGCAGTGTGCTATGAAGGATCCACAGAGCTGTGCCCTGTCAGCCCTCACACTCTGTGAGAAAGACCACATCGCCTTCGAGGCAGCCTACCAGATAGCCATTGATGCTGCCGCTGGTGGCATGACCCATTCACAGCTGTTCACTATCGCCCGCTACATGGAGCTCCGTGGCTACCCGCTACGTGCCTTCAAGCTGGCCTCCCTAGCCATGAGCCATCTTAACCTGGCCTACAACCAGGACACTCACCCAGCCATCAATGATGTGCTCTGGGCATGTGCTCTTAGCCACTCTCTGGGCAAGAACGAGCTGGCAGCCCTTATCCCCCTGGTGGTCAAGAGCGTGCACTGTGCCACAGTGCTTTCAGACATCCTGAGGCGCTGCACAGTGACTGCACCTGGCCTGGCTGGCATCCCAGGCCGCCGCAGCTCTGGAAAGCTCATGTCCACTGACAAAGCCCCACTGCGCCAGCTGCTGGATGCCACGATCAACGCCTACATCAACACCACACACTCACGTCTGACGCACATCAGCCCTCGCCACTACGGAGAGTTCATCGAGTTTCTGAGCAAAGCTCGGGAGACCTTCCTGCTGCCCCAGGATGGCCACCTACAGTTCGCCCAGTTCATTGACAACCTCAAACAGATCTACAAAGGCAAGAAGAAGCTGATGCTGTTGGTACGAGAGCGCTTCGGCTAAGAAAGCAAGCAGTTCACTGCCAAGGCAGCCTGGGCTCCCAGGTCCCATCAGGTCAGGTCAAGGACACTGAAATATTTGTCTACCCTGAGAGGACGCTGGGTACATGTGGCTGAGGCCAAAGGACCACAGGGCTAGAGCTGAGGAGAGTTCAACTTTACCGATACGCCTGCCTTGGCAAACTTCTCATCACGCCCACTGTTCCTGGAGCAGCCAGGCCCTGCAGGTCGATCAGAAACCCCACAACATGCCACCTCATGCCCCTGTATCCTGCGTGTCCTGGGCTTTGGCCCTTTCTCCCTTGGCAAACACAGAACATTGTTCCGTCTCAGGGATTGCTTAACCAGAGAAACAGAAGCATTTATGGTACTGTAAATACTATAGTATATGTGTTGCCCGTTATTGTAAAGTTGTAACTATTTATAATTCTGATTCTGATTTGGTGGGCACTTGAAGTAGCTGTGGGTAGGAGGATAGGCTTGTTTTCTGAGGAGATTCACGACCAATTCACTACCATTTCTCAGGTTTCCCTTGCAGAGTGTATGCTGTTGGCAGTGGGAAAGCAGAGATGGCAGGGAGAAATGGCCAGTTAGGATAAATCCCAGGTCTAGTCCACGCAGAAAATCCAGCCTGCAGTTGGGGCATAGAGAGCCTTGTGGTGGGTGAGGGGCACAGGCCAGGAACAGATGTAGACTTTCGCCTCTGAAGATGCAAGTACATTGAAGCTTCTGCTCCTGCCTCACACAGCCTCTCCAAGAGCCTGCTGAGCACCTGAGAACTGAGTATGGGGGAAGACGGAAGGTCTGGGAGCCACTGAGCTCATAATGTTCATCTACTCTGGTCATCTTTGTTTGTGTTAAGTGTCAGGTTTCATCTGTGTGTGTGTGTGTGTGTGTGTGTGTGTGTGTGTGTGTGCGCGCGTGCGCACCTGTATGACTTAGTACATGCATCTGTGTGCATAGATATATCTGTGCATACCTAGCTGTATATGTGCACATATATATTTATGCGTACCTATGTCAGTCCCGCCTCTCTGTACATGAGTGAAACATGTGCTGGACTGTAGGTTTCTGTGTGTGGGTACATATGTTGACATATGTGAGATTGCGTATCTGTGTGTAAGTACACTCATGTTTGTCTATCCATGTTTAGTGTGTATGTGTACCTGGGCACACATGAGTGCATTGTATAAATATGTGTCTGTGTGTACTCCTGCTATCCATAGACCTGTGTGTTTATATGTGTAACCGAGTATATTTCTACATGTAGGTGTGTCCATATATTGGTGTCTGTGGATCTGCACGAGTGCATCCCTTCTTTTGGCCAGATCTTTTTTCTGCATTTCTTAGTTTCTCTCACTGGCCATTCATTTCCCGTCTCTGAGCCGCCTCTACTCACCATTCTCTCACCAAACAAGCTTCTAAGCACCAGTCTCCCTCTGGCCTAAGATTGGCTGCTTCAGCTACACAGTTCTCTTCTTGCCCCATACTTGCTTTCTTCCCCTGCCTTTCTACCTCAAGCTGCTTCTGCCTGCTTGTCAGTCCCAGTGGTTGCCGATTTGGAGGCTGGGGCCAGTGTGTGTTGGCTGTCATGTTCCTAATCTCTAGCCCTAGTGGGCAGCCCTGTCTTAGCCCTGGCTGCACTAGTGTACCATGCTCCTGATCACTACCTTCCTGACCACTGTGCTCAGCCTGGAATCCTCATGGGAGGGAGTAAGGGCATTCAGAAGACTGTCAGATACCAGTGTCTTGGTGTTTACCATTTCATGTCTTAGTTCTCGAGTTAGGAGTGGGATTTGATAGGGAAGAAGTGGAATAGCTAGTGTGAACTAAGGACCTGTCTGCATTACTTTATTTTCCTTTATTTGGCAAACTGTTTATGTCAAGTTTTTTTTACTTCAAACTGACCATAAGTTGTATATGCTGTTTGTGGCTACTAAAGTCTTACTGTCCAGCCAAGGGCCCCTATAATGTCTCAGCCCAATGGGTTGGTAAAAACGAGAAGCCACCACCATTTCTGTATCACAATTGCCCTTTTTTAGCAAGTATGTGAACTCACACTGCTTTTCTATGAATAAATCATGGGTCACAGAAAAGATTGTTTTTCTAAAAGCAGAAATTGTGTTCTCTCAATAAAATGAGGCGCTTCTCTCCTTTCTGCATTGCTCTGGCTGAGTCAGGGTCTGTTTGGGTCTTCAAGGAGCTGTAGAATGACAGATGAATTTCCTGCCACAAGACTTCTCAAAGCTCACAGGCTCCAAGGTGCCTTGTCCTAAGAAGCAGGTGTCGGGACCAGCAGTTAGTGTAATGGCTATATCACTGGATTCCCATGTAGTTGACCGCAGTTCGAGTCCCAGACCCAGTGGCTTAAACTCACGCTGGGCACGTGTGCGTGCGTCCCCAAGATCCAGAGAGGAGAATGGAGAAGGGATTGAGGTGTGTCCATCGCCCCTGGGGGGGTGCTTTCTCGCTTTCTATCTCTCTGTCTCTCTTTGTCTTTCTGGCAAGTGCACACACTCTATAGCAAAAACCCCTCCAAAAAAATTAAAAAAAAAAAAACAGAAGCAGATGTCACCATGATGGGCAAAAACACCAAGAATCTGAGAAGATTAAAGGATATTCTTAGGAAAGAATACAGAGAAGGCCAGACAATGGTGCAGTTAAGGAGGCTAGATCCCACATGGCCGACTGCATGGTTTGAGTCCCAGACCCAGCAGCTTGAAAAACCACCCCTCAGGACCAGCAGTTAGTGTAATGGCTATGTTGCTGGACTCCCATGTAGTCGACCATGGTTCGAGTCCCAGACCCGATGGCTTAAACTCATGCTGGGTGTGTGTGCGTGCTGTCCAATATCCAAAGAGGAGAATGGAGAAGGGATTGAGGTGTGGCCATCTCCCCTGGGGGGGTGCTTTCTCGCTTTCTATCTCTCTGTCTCTCTTTGTCTTTCTGGCAAGTGCACACACTCTATAGCAAAAACCCCTCCAAAAAAAAAAAAAAAAATAGAACCAGCGAGCAGATGTCACCATGATGGGCAAAAACACCAAGAATCTGAGAAGATTAAAGGATATTCTTAGGAAAGAATACAGAGAAGGCCAGACAATGGTGCAGTTAAGGAGGCTAGATCCCACATGGCCGACTGCATGGTTTGAGTCCCAGACCCAGCAGCTTGAAAAACCACCCCTCAGGACCAGCAGTTAGTGTAATGGCTATGTTGCTGGACTCCCATGTAGTCGACCATGGTTCGAGTCCCAGACCCGATGGCTTAAACTCATGCTGGGTGTGTGTGCGTGCTGTCCAATATCCAAAGAGGAGAATGGAGAAGAAGGGATTGAGTGTGGCCATCCCCCCTAGGTGGTGATTTCTCGCTTTCTGTCTCTCTGTCTCTCTCTGTCTTTCCGGTGAGCGCACGCACCCTATTGCAAGAAAACCTCTCCAAAAGAAAAAAAAAAAATAGAACCAGCGCTCTAGGCATGTGTGCATGCATGCCCAAAATCCAAAAGGAAGGCAAAATGGAGAAGGGAGTGTGGGATGGCCATTCCCCATGGGGAGGTCCTTTCTCACTTGCTTCCCCCCTCTCTCTCTCTCTCTCTCTCTCACACACACACACACACACACACACACACACACCCTCTGGCAATTTAAAAATAAATGCAAAGCAGCCCCGAGTACAAGGGGCCAACTGGCTTGAGAGGTGTTCTCATCATGGTGATAGACTAATTTGAGCTCCAGTCCTAACCGGCCTCACTCTCTAACACTTTATGTACTCCCCATCTTTGGTGTCAAAGCTGAGGACCTCATATGCCTATCCACCGAGGCTCTGTCTTCCAGCCTAGGCCTCTCTGAAGTTCCAGCCACTTTGTGCCCCTCTTTGATCTATACTCCCCTTCCTCCCCAGACACAAAGCCCTGTCAGCTTGTCCTTTGCTGTGTGTACCCCACATTTTCTCTGCAAATGTCACAGCTCCAACTGCTAGGACATTCTCCAAACCCCTGTAGCCCTTGAATAATGTGAGAGCAAAATGGTAGTGAGAACCCTGATATGAAGTTCTATTGTACATACTCACTGGTATCTGAGCTCTAAGACTTGTGGGAGAGGATGCAGAGAGAGGCCCCGCGGAAGGAGCACAGGTTAAAAAGAAACTGAGGAAAAGGGTTCAGATCTTTCACAACCAACCAAATACTAGACTCCAGCTCTGAGACTTTTATTCTCCTGGAGACAATCGTCTGTGTTCGTAGTACTTGAGGTAAAGGCATATGCTCAGTTCTGTCGAAGCAGACGTGAGTGTCTGTGCACGGCATCCACAAAGGCCCCCACGTGCTCTGGGTCCATGTCCGGGTAAAGCCCATGGCCGAGGTTGGCAATGTAGCGTTGTGATCCAAAGTCATCCAGCATCTGCTGCACCAACCGCCCAATCTCCTCCTGGAAGACCAATGGCACTGCTATGGGGAGACTGACAAGCCTGTCCTCCCTGTACATGATAGTGACACACACACACAGGTATGCTTCTACTCAGTGTCATTGTGTCGTTAATTCATCAAAATCTATTGGATGCCCGGGTATGGGCCAGGCACTAAGAGAAAACAGATGAACAATAACAATTCTGCCTTCCTAGGGCTTACCCCATGCATATGGAGTAGAGGGGAGGGACAGACAGACGTGACAAAAACACACACATAATAACACCTAACCAGATCCATAGCCATAGGAATACACACACACACACACACACAAAAGAACTCATAGACACACAGGGGTCCTGCCTGTTACCTTTGAGGCATATAGAGCACAGGGGTCCAAGTTGCCCTGTAAGGTCACCGTCTTTCCCACACGCTCCCTGAAAACAGAGCCAGTGCCACATTCTGATGACTCTACACATGGCAGCTGTCGCCCTCTCCACCTCAACCCCCCTGTCACTCACCGGACTTTCTTGGGGGTCACCGTCCAGTCAAGCCCAACTACCTCATAGCCAGCCTGGGCCAGTTCCTCCAGGGCAAAATGTCCATCCTTAGCAAAGATGATCTAGAGCAAAGAGGCAAACTCAGGGTACAGAGGGTCTTGGGACACCCATTCCCCTTTCTCACCTGCACTTCTGCTGCCCTCCAGTGGTCACTCCAGTCCACGCAAGACTTACCCTGAAAGTTCCACATGCCCTTCACCCAACCCATCCCAGTCCTCACTCAACCCATCCTCACCATGGGCACTGGTGCCAGGCCTGCTTTTTGCAACCCAGCCTTCACTCGCTTGGCCACATCACGGATGTAGGGCAGTGCAAACTTGCTGAAAAGTTGTGGGCCAAGATGCCCCGCGTGGGACTCAAAGAGTTGCAACGCCTACAGTTAGGAGAAGTGACAAGAATACACACAGGAGTACCTCAGACCCCACATACACAGTGTCCTTCAATTTTCTTCAAGTGACTTAAATCTCTGATATTACCTGAACTATAAACACAGTTCAGTAAAAAAGTTTTGCCTTCTCCTCCAGATCCCAGGGCTAGCTTTGGCCTTTGAACACTCAGAGCACTAAGCCCTCCTGCCAGTGTCTGGGTAGGCTTGGCTGTACCAGCCAGAAGTTTCTATGTCTGGCATAAAGACCCCTTCCCACTCAGATTTAGGAGACCACTGCTTCTGGTCCTTATAAATCAAACCCCTGCCTATTTGTTTCTCCCTTGGGACTTACCTGAGCACCAGCAGCCACTTGTCCTACCAGATAGGGGACAAGAGTATCAGTGAGGATGCACAGCAGCCGGTGACTGGCCTGGGGTCTCTGGTAGAGCCAGCGCTTGGCCTGAGCCATAGTGCTTGAGCCGCCACCCTCAATCATGTATGTCATCAGGGTCCACTACAGAAGGACACAAAGAATACGTCAAAGGTGCAGAAGCCAAACCGACACTTCTTCCCTCATTTACATCCTGTCCTGCCCACGTTACCGGGGCACCAGCAAAGCCAATCAGTGGCACACGCCCTGCCAGCCGTTGTCGGGTAAGGGTGATGGCCTGGAACACATAGTCCAGCTCAGAGGCTGCCGCTGCTGGATCACGTAGGTGCTCTAGGTCCTGCTCTTCTTTCAGTGGCTTTGGGAAGCTGGGTCCTTTGCCAGGTATCATGGTCACCTCCATGCCTAGTGCCTGGAGGGAGAGGAAATACCTGGGTTCTAAACTTGGAACTCTAAGAGGAAAAGGCTCTGTTCCAAGGGGTCCTTTCCTTTTTTACACATTCCAGAATTAGGCTGAAGGGGTACCTGGGGTACAACAAGGATGTCGGAGAAGATGATGGCAGCATCCAGAGGGAAGCGACGCAGTGGCTGTAGGAAATGGGAAACAGTTTTGCTAAGTGGCAAGCTGAGGGCATAAGTCCCTCCCTCTTTGGTGGACCCCCTCACCTGCAGAGTCAGTTCACAGCAGGCTTCAGGAGAACGACAGGTGTTGAAAAAATCCTGGCCAGCTCGGGTTTCCCTAAACTCTGCAGGCAGAAGAGGGAAGACAGGGTTCAACCTTGTGGGCCTCCAGAGCACCCACCCCCACCCCGCCTCTCAAAACCTTTTTCTCTAGAGTTTTATCTAGGCTTCCAGGCGCAAACCCTGACCTGGTAAGTAGCGGCCTGCCTGCCGCATGCACCAAACGGGAGTGTAGTCTGTTTCCTCTCCCCACGCTGCTCGCAGGAAAGTATCATTCTTCAGCTCTGGAAAACCCTGGGGTCTGATGATCAGGTAGGGACAGGGTTACGTGTTAGTGTGCTAAGGCGTGGGTTCTTAAGACGGAATCAGGCACCGCTATCTGCACCCTCCAGGCCAGCCCCCAAGCTGTGGTTCCCCACCCGTTCTGCCTCCTCTATCAGATCATGCACAAGACTAGAAGGGCCCGCGCTAGGGCCTTTTCCCTACTCATTCTTCCTACTCTCTCAGCTAAAAGCAACTGAAGGGACTCGGGGAGAGAATTAAAACCCCGTAAGGGTACGCTGGGGTCTTCGGACTAGCGAATCTCTTCGGAACAGGCTGCCAGTGAGCTGGCTCCGGGGGTGGGAGAGCCCCAAGCTGGAGGACAATCAAAGGGAGATCAAAGTTGACGGTCCCAGAATAGGGAGGCTGCGGAATCCCCTGAACGAAGGTTTGAGGGACGCAGTCCAGCAAGACGGTGCCGGGGATGAAAGTCTCAAGAACCCATAGTCGGATGAATCCCAGAGATTTCCAGGTAAGGGGGGGGCGGGGGTAGAGGGACAGTTTCCTGAGTCGGAAGACAACAGAAGCCCGGCTAGCCACTCCTCGTGCTGCGGAGAACTCACCCCAACCTGTCCTCCTCCATGGTAAACAGTGACTGCGAACACTGTCCCGCCTTCAACCCGTATTTGAGCCTGCCCCCAGCCCAGGCTCCGCCCTTTCCTAGACTGAACCAAGGGCGTCGCCATGTTTGGAGCCACGTGATCAGGCTCCAGTGACAGCTCTGGGGCTGCCCTGGCTGGTGCCGGTAGGACCCCTACCACTTTTCACCGTAAAGTTCATTGTAGCGACGCAATACAAATGTCTGAAAGAAGGGGCTCTTTCTAACTACATCTTGATGATGGCAGGAGGTATTTAATCTCGAGTCTGACGATCTGGAAACCTCAAAGGCTTGGCTCAAATCTCACTCTCACTCTTTTTTCTTTTTTGAGAGGTTTTTGCTATAGGGCACGTTCGCTTGCCAGAAAGACAGAGACAGAGACAGCGAGAAATCAGCCCCCGGGGGCATGGCCACGTCGCAATCCCATCTCCTCCATTCTCTCTTGGGATCTTGGGCACGCACGCACACGTGCCCGGTGTGAGTTTTAAGCCACAGGATCCGGGACTCGAACCACAGTCGACTACATGAGATTCCAGCAACATAGCCATTACGCTAACTGCTGGTCCCTCACTCCCACTCTTCATGACTCTAAAAATCCTGTCTAGGGGCCAGCGGGTAGCATAGTGGTTAAGCACTGGATTCCCACATGGCTGACAGTAGTCCCCCACCTGGTAGATTGCTTTCACACGACACCTCCCCTCAACCCCCGTCCCTGATCAAATTTTAAAAATAATAATAATGATAAATAAAATTAAAGAATTATTTTTTTAAAAACTCTGGGTCCAACAGGTGGCGCGGTGGTTAAGGGCGCTGAACTTCCACATGGCCAACGGCCGTTGAGTCTCGGACCTGGTGGCTTGCTTTCTCACTTTCTCTCTCTCTCTCTCTGTCCTTGTCTGGTCAAATTAAAGATAGATAGATAGATAGATAGATAGATAGATAGATATAGATAGATAGATAAATCCTATCCAACCAGGTGTCCAGCAGATGGAACCAGGCTGTACAGACAACTAAAATACTTACATATTTATATGACCTACCAAGACCCAAGCACTGTGGTGGGTTTGGAGGTTAGAGTGCTGAGCAAGATAGCCCTGCCTTTAAGGAGCTAAAGTGCTGATGGGAAAACACAAATCAAGCGCATTAAAGTGAGGGCCAGCAGGTGACATGGGGTTAAGGCACTGGATCCCACATAGCTGATTATGCAGTTCAAGTCCTAGACCTGGCAGCTTGAAAAACACACCAGGTGCATGTGCATGTGTGAGGAAAGCCCTGCAGGAGAATGGAGGATAAGGAACTGCGGTGTGGCCATCTCTCCTGGGGGTGATGTCTCACTTTCCCTCTCCAGTGGAGTGTACCGTCCCATAGCAAAAGACTCAAACAAACAAACAAACAAACAAAAAGCAAAGTTGATAATAATCAGTGTTCTAGGATCAGGAGTAACAAGGATCAGGCCTGAATGACTCAAGACTCCTGTTAGTGGTGGGGGAAAGGTCAGTCTCCCAAATAATTTAGCAATACCTTCCTGATGATGAGTTAAGCAGCTTTTTCAAAGATTTTTCTGGTGGTACTAGGACTCGATGGGGCAGAGAGGCAAAAACAAGAGGCCCAAGGACCAGAAAATGGCTGTTGCAATGATCTAGACTAAATAGGATGGTGGCCTCTACAAGAGTAGCAACTGTGGAAATAAAATAGTAGTCTCCACGGTGTAAGAGAGGGTGATTGATCAGGTCTGGCTGGGCCTGGTGGCGGGCACAGAGGTAAGTAGCAGTTGAGAGTACACAGAGCAAAACGTCGGGGCAGAGGGTACGCCTAGTCCAAAACATACGGCGAAGGCTGGCCGAAGGCGGGGCAGGGCGTGGTGGGAAGCTCTGCGGTCGCGGCTGCCGCACTCCGGGCCGGATCGCCCTGGGCTCCCCACAGCTACTTCGCCATGGCGGGCCCTGGCCCGGGTGCGGCGCTAGAGTCCCC